CCTCCATTTGTCCGTTATATCATTTCCTCTCAAGCTAATAATCTCTTTAAATAATCTAATGGAGTTTTATTCTCCCCTGATTCTGCCTCAGCTGTCTTTTTCATTACTTGTTCACATTTCCTTGAATCTTTTTTTACCGATTTTTATATTTGCTCGATAATTTTTTGGCTTCAGGGTATTATATATATTTATAACTATTCAGTTGTTTTAGCTCATTCATTCTGATGGTCCTACCTTATATTTATTTCAATACTGCATTTCACTTTAATGTTATGCCACTTGCGTCTATGCCATGCTGCTTTATTCGACACTTGAAATAGCGTGCTGATAGAATTTTAGTCCGGAGCGTCTAGGTATCTTTCGTCCTTTTTATCGTGTGAATTATCCTTAGGATTATATTATTACTTGCTCCTCACATTTTCATCCTTAAGTGGTACGTATCTTCTTTGCCGGCTTACGACAGATCGACTGATTCTTATGAGTGTTTTGTCATGCTTCTTGAACTATTTTTATACAATTTAGGTAAGGCTTTATAACATACCTACATCTCAGTCCTTGTTTATACTTCTTATGTCTGATCTCTGCTAGATCCTTAAATTTGACAAATTAAGGAAGTCTAGTTGGAGCCATTCAATTCATATTGCCAGGTCATCTTAATCTCTTCTATGCTTCTTTGCTGTTTATCAGTAATGCTGCAGTAAACACTACTACTTTCGCTGGGATTATTAACGAATTCTATCCACTCCACTTTGGCGTCGGGACGGTAGATTTGTTCGAATAAGTCCCACAGCTCTGATGAATCCTTGTTGAACTCACGCCCCTCATGTGCTAATTCGACCTCGTTTTCGCGCCTTAGTCGGAGCGTCAGGGAGACCTTGTGGAACGTACCTAGTTCTGTGTCATCTGCTATAGTATTCGTGATTTCCGGCATCGGACCATTGACTTGGTACATTCCCAAACGGTTTACCGGCATCGTCAGTGAGAGGCGCTGACCAATTTTCTGTTAAATCGTTGTGGCATCACTTCTCGCTCCTATTTCTTGTTCAACCCATCTACCTATTCAGCCTAAGCGTGTGTCGCTACAAATAAATTTAATGAAGAGTAATCATCTCATCCATCGATACCAGGTGCTATTTGCAGGGCTCCTGACCTTCATTATGCCTCCTTTTTTCCTACCCCGCTTTTTATTTGTTCGCTGCTAAGCATTAAAATCACTTATCTTTCGTTTATAAGTAGGGTTTGTTGATTACCAATAAATCAATTATATGAGATTTACTCATCCAATTTCGTTTAGGATGATAAAGGACTGATAGTTGAATTTTCCCACAATGATATAAGCAGAGGTGGCGTTTCCATTGCATTTCACATAAATTTGCTTTCCTTAAAGGTGTTCTCATCCAGGATGGACTGCAACTTCGACCTCGCCTAGATCTTATCAACATCCCTAGCGAGAGTCGCACCATGAGTGCCCTTGGGTCACAGGGAAGATATTTTCCCATATCATATTCTTTGGTGAGATTGTTGATGAAACAAAGTTATATTTGCTATGACAATTGGCTACATTACTTATTTTTCATTTATAATTAGGGTTTCGAGACTACCAGTAAATCAGTTATATGAAGTGTATTCACCCTGAATAAGAACACCTTTTGGGAAAGCAAGGCTAAGTGAAAATCAATGGAAATGTCAGCTCTACTCACATCATTGTGGAAAAAATCTACTAGCAGTCCTTAATTACTTTAAACGAAATAAGGTGACTTGATCTCATATAACTGATTTACTAGTAGTCTTGAGATCCTACTTATAAATGAATAATAAGTAATGTTGTCGATTGTCATAGCAAATATAACTTGGCTCCATTGACAATCCCACCAAAGAATGTTATATGGAAAAAC